TGTGTCTGTATTGTGTGTCTGTGTTGTGTGTATATATTGTGTGTCTGTATTGTGTGTCTGTATTGTGTGTCTGTGTTGTGTGTCTGTGTTGTGTGTCTGTATTGTGTGTCTGTATTGTGTGTCTGTATTGTGTGTATATATTGTGTGTCTGTATTGTGTGTCTGTATTGTGTGTCTGTATTGTGTGTCTGTGTTGTGTGTCTGTATTGTGTGTATATATTGTGTGTCTGTATTGTGTGTATATTAGCGAAAACAACCTCTCCTACATATATACTTTCTATGCTGTATTTGTAAAAAGAAAAAGTGTGATCCATGTTCAAAAAGTCAATTATATGGATTTTGGTCAGAAGTGAATGTGTGTTGTTTTGTGTAGTTTTTGTGTTGCTTATTGTTATTATATTACAGACTTCTTTATAATTGCTTGCTGTAATAACATACAGAAAAGCTTAATTAATTCACCAGGCCATGGTCCAGGATGCCTGAAGCCTGTGACATTGCAGCAAATGATTTTATCCCATAATTCATTTATTTTTTTAAATGAGAAATAGTTGTGTTGCTTTCACTGGTAGCATTTGTTGAAGTTAATAAATTAAAATTGGACAAACCAGTATCTGTGTTAGTGTGAGCGGGCGGGGAACTCTCCGAGCGAACTCCCCGAGCATAAGGCTGTAGGAGGCTCTCCAGTCGGCTCCCTCATTACCTCTGTGTGTGTGTGTGTGTGTGTGTGTGTGTGTACATTGTGTGGTCACGTAGCATCTGTGCCGTGTCAACCGTCCTCCTAGGTCTACCCTCTTTCCACTATAGACACTTCCATATGGTCCATGCACAGGAGGGACCAGAATCTATGGCTCCGCTCTCCTCCGAAGCCTGCTCATTTGTGCGTGTCTTTTTGTGTGTGTGTGTTTGTGTGTTTTTGTGTGTGCGTAGCCTGTCTTCTTCAGTATATGCACTGAGTGTCCTTGGGTTTTGCAGTGGGACATGTTTGTAGTAAGCGGATCTGTTAACTTTGGCACAGGAAGAGAGACTGACAGAAGCGAGGCAACCAGTCTGCACCATCGGCCCCTCCCACCACCACCAACCACTCACACACACACCAGACTCATTCTAA